CCGAGACTAAAGACTATCTTTAGTCCCGGTTCTAAATATGTCAGGCCTAGTCAGGCCCCCCGGATCTTTAATCCCGGTTGGTGTTATCCTAACTTCACCAACCGGGACTAATGATCCCGGCGATCTTTAGCGCCGGTTTATAACACCAACTGGGACTAAAGATCCCCCTTTATATATATATATGTCTTCTTCCTCCTCCAGCCCGAGCAAGCTTCAAAATTTCTCCCAAAAAGAGGGGAGGTCATGCCAAAATTTATTGTGAAATTTTTTTCGTGGTTATATACAAATTGGAGGTGTCTATAGGTTAGTAACTTCATCATCCAATGTTTTTTTGTTGTTATATTACTTTTGGAGCTATGTTTCACACATTTTTTTTGTCTCCAAAACTTTGTTATAAGTTGATGAGAGAGAAAATTTGTGTGGGGAAGAAGAATATATAGAAATTTTGTTTGTGTACTTAAAAAGTTTTATTCTCATAGTTGAAAATATAATGAAAATTAATTTTGAAAAATAGAAAACAAACTAAATTGAAAATTAAAAGAAGTACAACATTAATATTAGTTTAAAACTTTAAAAATAATAAATATGAATTGTTTGTTGGATTATTTTATAATTATTGTATGAATAATGATATGTCATTATTGTATGACTGTTGAAAGAGTTTTTAATTATTTTATTATTATTGTATGACTGTCATTATTGTACGAAAATTTATTTATGTACGATTTTTATTCATTTCATGTAGATGGATCGGCAATGGATGTACGCTGACCGGAGATCCAAAGAGTTTATCGATGGCGTGCATTATTTTTTGAGAGTGGCCGAAGCTAACAAGCATAAGGGTTTTATTTGTTGTCCATGCAATAAGTGTAAGAACCAGAAGGAGTATTCTGCATCCAGGACTATTCATTTCCACTTGTTTGAGTCTGGGTTGATGCCAAGCTATAATTGTTGGACATCCCACGGTGAGCAAGGGGTTGAAATGGAAGAAGATGAAGTGGAAGACGAGAACATTCCAAACTGGGCTCAGTACGCTGGATTTGAAGGAAATCAAACGGGCGAGGTGGACAGGGATGCTGACGATAACGACGTTGTGGATGATATTGGTCAGATGTTGCAGGAAGCCAAGGAGGACTGTGAAAGTGAAAAGAAGGCCCATAAATTGGAGCGTATGTTAGAGGATCACAAAACGTCGTTGTACCCAGGTTGCGAGCAGGGGCACAAAAAGTTGGATACCACTCTAGAGTTCTTGCAATGGAAGGCAAAAAATGGTGTTAGTGACAAGGCATTTGGCGATTTTTTGAAACTTGTCAAGAACATTCTTCCGAAGGGAAACAAATTGCCCAAGACAACGTACAAGGCTAAGAAGATAGTCTGCCCTCTAGGATTGGAAGTTCAGAAGATTCACGCATGTCCGAATGATTGTATTCTATATCGCGGTGAGGAGTACGAGAACCTAGAAGCATGCCCTGTTTGTAAAGCACTACGATACAGGATTAGACGAGATGATCTAGGTGAAGTTGACGGGCAGCCAATGAAGAAGAGAATTCCTGCTAAGGTGATGTGGTATTTCCCTATAATACCACGGCTAAGGCGTTTATTCAAGAACAAGGGGAATGCTAGAATGATGCGTTGGCACGCTGAAGAACGTCAATAGGACGGGATGTTGAGACACCCCGCCGATGGTTCGCAGTGGCGAAACATCGACAGAACATTTAAAGACTATGGAAAGGACGCACGAAACATTCGGTTTGGTTTAAGTACGGATGGCATGAATCCTTTTGGAGAGATGAGCAGCGGCCATAGCACTTGGCCCGTTACGATGTGTATCTACAACCTCCCCCCTTGGCTATGCAGGAAGAGGAAGTACATAATGATGCCGATTATTATTCAAGGCCCCAAGCAACCTGGTAACAACATCGATGTGTACCTAAGACCACTGGGGGAAGATCTGATACTGTTGTGGAAGAAAGAAGGTGTCCTCGTGCGGGACGAGGACAAACAGGAGGAGTTTAACCTACGAGCGCTGCTGTCCGTAACCATCAATGATTGGCCTGCACTTAGCAACCTATCCGGGCAATCTAACAAGGGGTACAAGGCTTGCACTCACTGTATGGACGAAACTGAAAGTATGTATCTTAAGCACTGTAGGAAGGTTGTGTACATGGGTCATCGTCAATTCCTTGCTGCAAACCACCCTGTACGGAAGAAAGGCAAGCACTTTGAACATAAGGCGGACCACCATACGAAGCCTAAACATCGCAGCGGGAAAATAGTGTTTGCTATGGTGAAAGATCTTAATGTAGTGTTTGGAAAGGGGCCTGGCAGCCAGCCTATAGAGAGCGAAGATGGTCACGCGGCGATGTGGAAAAAGAACTCTATTTTTTGGGAGTTACCCTATTGGGAATTCTTGGATGTCCGCCACGCAATCGACGTGATGCACCTCACTAAGAACCTTTGTGTAAACCTGCTTGGCTTCCTAGGTGTATATGGAAAGTCGAAAGATACACTGGAAGCACGTAATGATCTGAAGCATATGGAACAACGCGGCGACCTTCACCCAGAACCAAAGGATAAAGGATGCCATTACTTGAGTCCAGCCAGCTACACTCTTAGCAAGGCAGAGAAGGAAAGTATGTTTGAATGCTTGGAGAGCATCAAGGTACCGTCTAGATACTCCACGAACATAAAGCGAATAATAAGCACGAAGGAGAAGAAGTTCGCAAACCTAAAGTCTCATGACTATCATGTGTTGATGACACAACTGTTACCAGTTATAATTCGGGGTATCCTTCCAGACAATGTCCGGGTAACAATAACAAAGCTATGTGCTTTCATGAACGTAATTTCGCAAAAGGTCATCGATCCGGATAGATTAGAAGCCCTTCAAAATGATGTACTGCAATGTCTTGTCAGCTTTGAGTTGATATTTTCACCTTCATTTTTCAATATAATGACGCATCTGCTTTGTCACCTTGTCAAAGAGATCGGTATTCTCGGGCCCGTGTACCTACACAACATGTTTCCTTTCGAGAGGTACATGGGCATTCCGAAGAAGTATATTCGTAACCGTGCTCGTCCAGAGGCAAGCATCGCCAAGGGGTATGGAACAGAGGAGGTCATTGAATTCTGCGTAGAATTTATCGAAAACCTTCGCCCAATTGGGGTGCCTAAATCACGCCATGAAGGGAGACTAGGGGAAAGAGGACTCTCGGAAGGAAAGCAATAATGACGGTAGACAACAATTTATTCCGTAAAGCCCATTTCACGGTTCTGCAACAATCTTCATTGGTGGCTCCTTACATCGAGGAGCACTTGGCTCTAGTTCGCGCCAGAAACATCGGTAAGTCCGATGCATGGATTACACGGCATCACATTGATACATTCCCCGCGTGGCTGCGACAACATCTAATGGGTAACGAGACGATTAACCAACAACTGGCCTTCCTAGCAAGGGGACCATTTGGCTCGATAGCGACATTCCAAGGATATGAGATCAATGGGTACACATTCTACACGAGAGAGCAAGACATAAAGAGCACGAACCAGAACAGTGATGTCCGTATTGATGCCATGGGACACGATGGTATAACTGGCACGTATTACGGTGCCATCGAGGACATATGGGAACTTGACTATGAACCTCTCAAGGTCCCTCTGTTCCGGTGCCAATGGGTTAGGCTGACTGGTGGAGGCGTAACGATTGATGACAGTAGGATGACAACGGTTGACCTTAACAAGGTTGGATACTCGGACGAAGCTTTTGTCCTTGCCAATGATGTAACGCAAGTTCTTTACGTGAAGGACATGTCTAGCAAAGGAAAGAAGGGCAAAGGGCCTGATGAGCCGAAGCGCCATGTGGTTCTCCGAAGCAAAAGAAAAATCGTCGGAGTCGAGGACAAGACTGACGAGGATTATGATCAGTTTGATGGGCAACCCCCTTTCACTGTGACAGTTGACCCTAGCATCCTCCTCTCAAATGAAGACAACCCTTATTCACGCAGCGATCACAAGGAAGGAACAGTAGTGAGGAGAAAGTACGTGCGGTCAACCGTCACCGCCGATGTATTGTAGAAACCAAAATTTGTAGAAAAATGGAAATTCAATATAATGAAAAATTTTCATTTATATTATTGTGGTGATAATTTGTTTTAGGTGTTTTTGGATCTTCTATGCATCATTTCATTTTGCATATATAAATTAAATTAGAGAAAAAAGGGGTAATAAGATTAGTGATGAGAATAATAAACAACCAATTTAATTAGTTATAACTCAGCTTTTGCATCTCAATTAAAAAGATGAAGGCAACCAAAATTAATTTAAATTGGAATAAAAGAAGGAAACTTGTTTGAATTTCAAAAATAACTGCACATGAGAAAAATCTCAAAAATTCACCAAATGGAGTTCACCACTACGATAACTTCCAGTGCTATTGGCGCATGCTTTTGAGCAGTGTAGCCATTCCAAAAAAAATTCGTCAAACCCTCAGCCCTCTCTAAAAAAAAATCCCTGGGAAGAAATGTTCCTCATCTCCCCTATTCCTGTACTTCTCTGATCTGTGGGCCCAAGCACCCTAGACCCCACCTGCCAGTGGCCCAGCACCCCATCCCTCTCTCCTCTTTCCCATCTCTTTCCTTGCAGACATTTCATCGAACACATAGGATGCGAGCCGAAAGTCGTCGCCCCCAAGCCGCCCATTCCTCCTCTGCCCGCGAATCTCGCTGCAAGACTGTGCAAAGCTGACGACGCCTCTGCCCCGCCTCTGCCCGATGCCCTGCCGCGCCCAGCGCTGCCCTCGCAGCCGCCGCGCCCAACCGACGCCGCCCCTCTGCCCGGAGCGACGAGACGCGACGAACCCGACCGTTGCTGCCTCCGTCTGGAAAGCCACTGACCTGCGTCTGCAAAGCAAACGCCCCTGCCTCCGTGTCTCCCGCCTGCAAAGCCGACCACCGCAGCCGCCGTGGCCAACCCGTAGCCGCCGCCCCCTGCCAAAGCCGACGCCCGAAGCGACAAGGCGAGACCGACCGCTCCTGGCTCCCACTGCCTGTCCCCTGCACCTCCCTCTGCAAAGCCGGTAAAGCCGACGCCGCGCTAGCCTTCCCTCTGCCCCGCTGACACCGTGTCATCCGCCGACCCCGTCTGTGCGCGCACGAGACGCCGAACGCGTCACGACAACCTCCGCGTCCGCCTCTCGCTCCTCCCTCGCCTATAAATCGAACCCTCGCGCCAGCTAACTCTCCACACCACTCTCAACCTCCACACCCAAAGCCGAAGACCAAAACCCTCTGATTCGCCGGGAACGCCCGCGCCATCGTCACGCCCCGCGTCGGCCGAACAGGGCGCGACCGCCAACCCGCACCCGTCAAGTCGCTGCCTCGGTGAGTCTCGAACCAAACCCTTGCGCCAACATGCTCCTGGGAACCCCATGAACCCATTTCCTCAAGTTAATTTAGGACCTCTTCGCCGGAGATCTGCCGCCACCATTGCCGTCGCCGACCGCCTAGGGAGCTCGTGGCCACGCCACCTCGGACCGCCTCCGCCCAAATAGAGCACGGGGTAAGCTTCCTCATAGTCCCAAGGTGCTCCTCCATCCTTTAATCGAGTCATCATTCGCCGTACCACGCGAGCCGTCGCAGTCCCCAACCTACCGCCGACACCGGCCATGGCGCTCGCCGTCTCCAACCTCCCCGGGCCGCGCCGCCGCATCTAGGGTGAGCGCGAGGACCCCCTCTAGTCGCCCCTGCCTCTGCCCTAGCCAGTCCCGCCGCCGGTCGCCGCCGGCGAGACCATCCGGAGCCGCCCTCGCGCTCCCCTCTGTCTCGTGCGAACGGAGGAAGAAGACAGGACCTAAAAGTAAATAGTATAAACTCTAGGGTTCCTGATACAAAGCGCCAGTACACTTACAAGTGGGACCCAGAACTTATATATAAATAAAACAAAGTATAGGGTTGGAGCTATAAATCTACGAGACACTTACATGTGGACCCCACTGCTTTAAGTGGATGCGCACTACCGGAATACGTTTTCCGTGTAGGAAAGTGTACTCTAGACAGTACGCTTCAGCCTTTTGTAAAGAGAAAATAATAAATCTAAGAAAATGATTTCGGTTATTTATTTATGCACTATAAAATGCTGAAACTTTGTAAACTCATAGAAAATTCATTTTAACTCCGATTGAGGTGAACCAAATTTTGTTAGATTCATAATAATGTTGTCTTTAATACTGTAAACTCAAAATTGTCACCACTGTTGTGAAAATTTTCACTAATTTAAATTTGAATAGTAAACTTCGTATTTACCATACTTTAAATATTAGAAACACGATAACTTGCACATACAACATCGGATTTAGGCGATTCTTTCTCCTAAATTTATATTAAATCGCTCTCTTTACACTGAACATGTTCATGCACCATGCATCACATTTTATCTTGGAGTTTTATTGGATGTTCATTTGAATGTACGTTTAAATTTAATTAGAGGGCGAATCGATTGTTGCCGTTGGCGAAAGTGTGCAGGACCAAGAGTTATTTGAGGAACCAACTAAGCAAGGCAAGTCCTATTCAATTCCTCCTTCGATCATGTTGAATCCTATATTTTCGCAAGTGCTTTACTATTTTATAAATTGCATGCGATGTTTTATAAAAAATGGGGTATTGGTAGAAATGACCTAATTGCTGCATTACCTACCTTGATATATTGATTATCATTACTGTTGAAGCCCTAGGCTGAGTATATATGTGTGCTGTACAAGCACATTGTGGGTATATTCGAGCTACTACTATAGCTACTTGCTTAGCCATGCTTAGAAAATTTCCGATGGTTATATATGACATGATAATCATTCTTTACAAATGGGATATTTTTACACAAGAGTTGTTCTGTTGTTTATGAAAATTGGAAACTGAAAATAATGATTTTAGACTTGGGCGGCAAGTGGTGTGCATATGGTGGTAGTTGCACACCGATAAGGGGAGTGTACGCCCGAGTCGATTAAGGACTGAACTATGTGTCACCAACTAAGATTACTGTGCAACCACATGTGTCGGTTATGGGGGCGACCTTGGCTTGTTAAGTTGTTTACTGTTTAGCCTTGCATTGGGAGGCCGTTGTAGTAGGGACTAGTCTGAGCGATGGTTCATAGGATCTACCCATGTGACCCTCTATGGGAACGGTTGTGTTCGCCATATGGCATGGGCGTCTAAGTATATCCAATATAACGGATAGTGCCTCGTTGAGGGAACGGATGTGTTCGCCTCTCGGCGTTAGGATTAGGATGGGGCCCACCTTTCCTAGCGGCATTGGTTCATGGCCAATGTGGAGAAACACTCTCCGTGCTCATGCAAGGCTAGACTTTAAGCAATGTAACAGCTTCGTTGTGACCTCTAGTCCACATTCCATGTGTAGAGTGTGGGGTACCGACGGGTACCAAAACAACTAGAGTGTAGCCTTTTGGCTTCTATTACATCATGTGGGTAAAGTTGTACAAACTCTGCAGAGTCTAAAACTAATCGATTAGCCGTGCTCATGGTCATGAGCGACTTGGTGAAATGATACAAGTATAGTGTTGGTGATTTACTAAAATGGTTTGTGAAATGGGTAAGGTGAATAATGGTGATGATTTTGCCCGGTGTGGGCTGATAATAAAATGATTACTTGTTGCCGTGGGTGGCACAAGGTTGGTACTATGATGATACTTATATTGCTATTATTATGGCTTACTCTTTGATTTAAAAATCCCGTTTCTATCTATTATTATCTACTATTGTGAAATAAAATTTGCCTTAAGCTGAAAATGAGCCACAAATATAGCCATCCTTGATCTCAGCTTGCAATAGTCCTAGGTTTCCCAAGGTTTGGGTAGGACTTGCCAATACCTAGTGTATTGACCCACTTCTTGTTGTTGTTTTTAGACATGGATGCAGGATGTGAGGTGCCTAGTGACGATTACTTTGCACCGGGTACCGGAGTTTTTGAGGATGGTTCTTTCTAGGGTGATTCCTAGTCGGTTGCCTGTGTGGTTTGGTAGATGGGCATACCGAAGAACTTATGTATCTTTACCTTCTCCACTGCGTTTAAACTCTTTTATTTGGCCGGTCGGCCTAACTACTATGTAAGACCTATGCACCGTTAAGTTATGAGAACCACTTATCTACTTATATGTCAAGTATGTTGTATGGATGTGATAACAATGTTGTGGATGCGTGTACTAGCCACTGATCATGGGACTAGTACAGTGTACGCTCCAGGTATTCGGGAATTCAATCCCCGGGTGCCGACATGTATTGCCGTAATTGTTGTGTACACGATGTAAACTGTTTTGGATGTATTGAATATCCATATAAATCAATTGTTATATGGCATATGTTAATTATGTATGATTATTAGAATTTTTAAAAGTTCTAAATCATGCATATGCTTATTATATATGATTATTACAATTTTTAACAATTTTAAATCATGCATGTGGTATTTACATATTATAATAAGAATGTTTAACAAATTTAAATCATGCATATGCTAATACTATATGATAATTAGAATGTTTAACAATTTTAAATCATGCATATGCTTATTATATATGATTATTAGAATTTTTAACAATTTTAAATCATATGCTAATTATATATTATCCACTTAATATATTTTAAAGGTTTTATCATAAATTTTGTGACTTTAAATCAATTTAATGCATTATTTACTCTTTTAGATAACCTATATGTAATGAGATTAAATATGCATTGTTATTATCTTTAGTCCCGGTTCTTAACCCTAACCGGTTTAAAAAGGAATTTGGAAATAGCGGAAAAAGGGCTTTAGTCCCGGTTGTTTTCACCAACCGCCGCCGACGAATCTCGGGGGTGAGGCGCGCTCTCTCTCTCTCTCTCCAAACCGCCATCGACGCCCATGCCGCCGCCGCCGCCGCCGCCGCGCCACGCCGCCATCGCCGCGCCTCGACGCCGCGCGCCGCCCCTGCCGACGGCCACGCCGCCGCGCGATGATGCCACCGCCGCCGCGCCACGACGTCGCCGCCACTGCCGATGGCCCCGCCGCTGCCGCGCCAGGCCACCGCTGTCGCGTGACGCCAATGCTGCCACCGCCGCGCCACGCCACCGCCGAAGCCGCCGCGCCACGCCACCGCCGAAGCCGCCACTGCCTCTGCCCAAGCAGTCGCGAACGAACGTGAACGCAACGCGAATGAAACGAGAACGAACGCGAACGAAACGTGAACGAAACGGGAACAAACGCGGACGACACGTGAATGAAACGTGAACGAACGTGAACGAATGCCGAACAAACGTGAACAAAACGTGAACGAACGTGAACGAACACGAACGAACGCGAATGAAACCATGAACCTAGACTTCTACTCCCCTCCGACCTAGTTTAATCTATCATGCACTAATCAAAATATGTTCCTTTGCATTTAGACTAATACTTTTTTTTTGCATGTTGCAGAAAAGACGTCGTCGTCGTCTCTCAAGACTAAGTGGTAGATAGCCCTTGGAGGAATTTGCGCAGGCAAGTGATGTAATATATGATTACTAGAGTTAGCATATGATTATTAGAGATTTAATATGATTGTTAGATCTAGCATATGATTATTAGAGATAGAATATGATTATTTAGAATTACCATATGAGATTATTATAGTTTTAATATAATATTATTAGAGTTTTAATATATGATTACTAGAGTTAGCATATGATTACTACAGATTTAATATGATTCTTAGATTTAGCATATGATTATTAGAGTTTTCATTTATGATTATTAGAGCTAGAATATGATTATTTAGAGTTACCACATGAGATTATTATAGTTTTAATATAAGATTATTAGAGTTTTAATATATGATTACTAGAGTTAGCATATGATTACTACAAATTTAATATGATTCTTAGAGTTAGCATATGATTGTTAGAGTTTTCATTTATGATTATTAGAGCTAGAATATGATTATTTAGAGTTACCATATGGGATTATTATAGTTTTAATATAAGATTACTAGAGTTTTAATATATGATTACTAGAGTTAGCATATGATTACTACAGATTTAATATTATATATGGAAATATTTCTTGTATGAACAGATGGTTGATCGCAGAGGGAAGCAGCTAGTACTGGAATGAAGAAGAGGGGAACGAGGATCCAAATCAGTACTTGAACGAGGAGGTGAACGAGGGGAACGTGGAGAGGAATGCAGAGGGGACAGAGGAGGGTACTGAGGAGGGGAACGAGGTAGCGGATGCTAGTGGAAGTCAACCCTCCGCTGGACAGAAGAGGGCACGCGGACAACGAGGTGCCGCGAAGAAGATATAGAGGGTCGGCACATCATAACTGAGGTGGACGAAGACGGCCGACCTAGTGCCCCGGCAGAAGCAGCCAAGAATTACGTACGACACAACGGTTGGGTTGTGAGGGATAACGTGCCTGTCAGTATGGTGTACTGGCGCAGAACAAGGGCACGCGGAGATCACGACAGGTTTGTCCTAGATTCGGAGAAAGAGATGCTGTGGACCACAATGCTCGAGACGTTCACCCTTCCTGCGGGTACAGAGAACATAATGAAAAGGTGGACTCTAAAGAAAATGGCAGAACAGTTCCAGAGATTCAAGGGAGATCTCTACCATAAATACATCCTGAAGGGGCAGACACCGAACTTCAACACATTCCCGAAGCTAAGGGATCACTGGGACGAGTTCGTTGCTTATAAGACAGGGCAACAAGGGCAAGCGATGATGGACAGAAACAAAGAAAATGCTGCCAAGAAGAAGTACCATCACCACTTGGGGTCAGGCGGCTATAGCGTCGCAATGCCAAAGTGGGAGGAGATGGAGGCAAGCTTGATTGAGAGGGGTATCGAACCGGCCACCGCTAAATGGCCGAATCGATCGAAGTTCTGGCACTATGCTCACGGTGGAACGCTTAACCCCGTTGATGGCTCCCTAGTGTTCAGTGATCAGATACGCGATGCTGCAAGTCGACTAACGGACGTAGTGGAAACCTCTTCTCAGGGCACGTTTCGACCCGACAAAGAGAAGGACGAGCTGTCACTCGCCCTGCAGACTCCCGAGCATCTAGGACGAACGCGAGGGAAAGGCGTGGTTCCTTGGAAGATTGGATTCAAGGAAGACATCCACACGTACAGGAGTCGGATGAGGAGCAAGAGAGATACCGAGGCGAAGATTGCAGATCTTGAGTACAGGGTATCGAGCTACGATCTCAGCATGCAAGAGGAGGTGGCAAGGAAGGTCGATGAATGCATGGCCGCACATCAGTGCCAGGATCCCCAGCCGTACATTCCTCCTGTAATGGTCAGCCCCTCAGGCAATCGAAGCAGTTGCGCCTCAACGGGCAGGTAGGATCACAGAGCATGGACGCCATGCAAATTCAGGACGAAACCACCTGCCCCGTTGATGAAATCACGCAGCGGACACCATGTGAGCTGCATATTCCCTTCAAGAACTTATCAATCAAGGTATGCTCGTAGTTTTATGATTTTTGACTTGCACATTCTGCAAGTTGCTACTTAGGTTGATTACTAATAGATAACCTCTCAACACGTGAAGGTGGCGTCGGGAATGGCCATCCCAACGGACCCTTGAGGGACTTACCACTGCAGGCCGATTCCAGCAGGATACTCGAGGGTCGAAGTTGAGCTGGTGGAAGCCGTGTACGAGGACCTCGAGTTGGACTACCCTGGAGGAGACGGTGAGACGCATCTACGAGACACAAGCCACGCCATTATACTATGGCGCAAGTGGTACAACATCCTCCCTGGGAGACAAGCGGCGTCTCGTGCACCATCTCCTCCTCAGGCTCCTGCACCGTCTCCTCGTCAAGCTCCTGCACCGTCTCCTCCTCAGGCTCCTGCACCGACTCCTCCTCAAGCTCATGCGTCGTGTCCTCCTCAGGCTCCTCGTCCGGCACCTTCCAAGTCAAGGTCTCACCAAGCTCCACCGCCTGCCCGCACAAGGGCAACGAAGAAGATGAAAGTTGACGCCGCAGAAAACAAGGTGCCGCCGTACGATTGCATGCAAGAGGAGCTTGACGGTTATGTGGCAGCAAAAGTGAAGAAGCAAGTGAAGCCTCGGAGTCCAGAAAAGAAGATTCCTATAGACCCGAGTGCCAAGAACTTCTTCAGGAGTATGTCTGCACCAGCCAAGGAGGTCATAAAGCTAACGGACTATGAGCGAACACTTAAGAAAGCATATTATGGAAAGTCCAAACCAGTCCCTCAGCTTGGAGAGCAACCAAACCAGGAGGTCGAGCCGTTGATGACCGGGGAAGAAATTGGAATAAAAGAATTTATTTCTGACACCGGGCTAACTAGGGCTCAATTGCTTAGCGGCGCACCAATCCCAAAGGCGGAAGTGAAATACCAATACGAACTCGGTAAACCGCTTGTGAAGCCTGAGCAGCTGCAGTCCCTACCGACACAGATGTACAAATTCCATCAACTGTACATGGAAATGAGTGCGGAAATGAGCGCCACCGGTAGAGAGATGATCAGAGCGAGGATCAAGCACACGGACTTCTTGCAAGGAGAAGATGTTCTCTGGATCAATTTCAAGGGTATCTACGAACTATACCAGCTGGACGCCCTCGACGTCTCTCTTCTGAGTTGTTGGATTTTGTAAGTATCGTTCAGTTAGATTTCTTATTACGTTTCCTTTAATTAGGTCCTTGTATATAAGTACACTATATATATCATTATAGAATGGAGATTCAAAGAGCCCGACGGCGGGGGGGTTTTCGATACTGGATTCATCGACCCTTGGAAAGTAAACGTCGAAATGATCACCAAGTATCTGCAAGCCACAAGCCACAGAGGACAATCTCGTCCATCTCCTAAAGGAGCAGCATTCCAAGACGTTCATACTATTGCCGTACGACACAGAGTTAGTTTTTACTGTCTTCCGAACAAATTCCATTCCCGTACATACATGCTAAGTGTTTCATATGTCATGCATCTCACGCACATTGTAGATTCCACTGGGTCCTTTTACTCTTCGACTTGGAGGCATGCAGAGTCAATGTCTATGACTCAATGAATAAAAAAGAGTCTACTTTTGACAAGGTTTTTGAACTTATAGACAGGTAATGTCATAAGTTCCAATGTTATTACGAATTTTGCTATTAATTGCTACTACGAATCATAGCTTTAAACTCCATGTAGGGCTTGGTATCGGTTCCGTCATTTGGTCTGCAACAATTGGAAAGAAAAACTTAGGCAGAGGTTCAAATTTCCTGCGAGTACATGCTCTACATTTATATTGAATCTCTAACTCAAATATAAATGTATATTAATTAAATCTCTTGCCGTTTGTCATGTATATATAGTGTGCAAAGCAAGACCAGGGAACTAACTTGTGCGGCTACTACGTATGCGAGTATTGCCACTGCCTTACAACCCAAATCTACACCACAAGAGAGCTCAATGTACGTATAAATAAATTCAAAATTTCATTGCGTACGTATCGATTTGTTATTTACTAATTAATTTCATACATTTATAGGTTATTCACATGAGGGATAACCTCACACACAAGGAATTTATCGCGGCGGTTCAAGAACAACTCATGGGATTCATCAACGAACAAGTCCTTGATCCCGAGGGTGAATTCTACTATGACGGAAATACAATTCATAAGTCGTTAGCTTCTGAGATAACGATTACTACGTCGAAGTCGTAGCTAGCTAGGACATAATGAATTGTAATTCATACATGTCTATTTTTATATATGTACACATTTACTTTAGTGCAAATATATATTTTGGTCATATATGCACATAAAATATTAAGTGCTTTAATATATACATACATACATATATATATATATATATATATACATACACATATATATACATATATACATACATACATACATACATCCACATATATATATATATATATATGTATATATATATGTATATATATGTATATATATATGTGTATATATATGTATATATATACATACATATACATATATGTATATGTATACATACATATACATATATGTATATGTATACATACATATACATATATGTATATGTATATATGTATATATATATGTATATGTATACATATATGTATATATATATATATACATTAGATACCATGGTGCCCGGGCACCATGGTGCCCCATATGAGTGTCCTATATATATATATATATATATATATATATATATATATATATATATATATATATATATATAAAGGTGCTCGATCTTTAGTCCGTTACCAACCGGGACGAAAGATGGCTAAGTCGGCCACGTGGCTAACCCATCTTTAGTCCCGGTTGGTGGACTAAAGATAACGATCTTTAGTCCCGGATTGGTAGTCCCGATTTGAAAACCGGGACTATAGAGGGGTTACGAACCGGGCCTAAAGAAGGTTTCTCCACCAGTGTCTTGATCCGTTGTTCGTGATCGATTTGTAACCATATACGCATGCATCATATATAGTTGGTTGGCACTGCATGGATAACTGACATGTTATGTCGCTATATATACCAGTTGTTACGTACGGTTCAATGTACGTTACTCGGAGCTCCCTCATGTCTTGAATAAATCAACTTCTATAAATTAACTGAAATGAATATAAGACTTGTATGGAGTAATTTTATCGGAAGAGAAACTACAGAAAATTCAGTTCTATTATTTATTGGATTTATTTTCTTTTTTGAAAAAATATAGTATATATAAACATTGGCACTCACACATGCATGCACACACTAATCCAGTACTACAAACGTATATAGATCGAGCTGCAACTTGGTTTTTATTAATCTCCTTCATCACAGCTAAATATTCCATCCGTTTTTTAATAGATGATCCCGTTGACTTTTGAACACATATTTGATCATTTATCTTATTAAAAAAATTATGCAAAAGTATAAGATATAATTATACTTAAAGTACTTTGCACGATAAAACAACTCACAACAAAATAAATTATAATTATGTAAATTTTTTAATAAGACGAATGATCAAAAGTGTGACAAAAAGCCAACAACATCATCTATTAAAAAATAAATGTAGTATAGTTTAGGCCCTCTTTAAAACGTATGATAGAAAAAACATAGGAATTGAAGTAGTATGTTTTTCCAGTTCTACAGGAAATTGAGAACACGGGAAACAGATAAAAGAACCCTTTGATTACACCACAGGAAACACTCAACAAAGGAAAGTTTCACAAGAGATCAAACCTCTTGCTTATTTTCCTATGGAATTGACCATAGGAATGCAATCATATGGAAATATTTCCTATCCTTTTCCTATGAATCAAAGGATCTATAGGAAAAAAAATACTTAGGAAAACGAATCCTCCAAAATTCCTTTGCTAATCCTCCATTTCAAAGAGGCCCTTAATGAATTATCTATAATTAATATTTTATCGATTGCATCTAATTATAGTTAGATGTAAATTTAGCTAAGTGTCTATGGGCTTGTTTGGGGGAGCTTCTAGCTGCTGCAGCTTCTCCCAGAATTAGAAGCTCCCCCAAATAGTCCAGCTTTTGGTTCAGCTTCTGAGAAGCTGTAGTTGTGAAATCCAGAAAATGAATTAGAAGCCAGAAGCTGAGAAACCCAGTTTTTCCAGATTCTCAGAAGCTAGCTATCAACCAGCTGCTTCTTAGAATCTTAACCTCTCCCAAACAGGCCATATATATGCTGTCAGAAATGAAGTTGTAGAGATACATAGATCCAAAATAAGAATGGCATCAGCAGCCCTACCTGTAAAAATTTTAGAGCTCAAAGCCTATGCCCATGTACAGTTCCCTCTTTGGCAAAGATATAAGCAAACATGTACAATCAAGTTTTCCCTATTGTCCTCCTCTTTGTACTATTTTATTTTGGACTATAGTTTGCTTAGGCCATCCTTTTTATATTTATTTTATTTATTTTTGCGAAACCTGATGCCAACCAATTCACATCAAATCAACAGGTCTTGGAAATAGTTTCGAAGGTCCGCATTTGTTCTTTTCCCACATTCAGCTAAACCGTTGTTAATTAGCTTCAATCGACCTCTTGACGAATTTGTTTTCTACCTATTGTCCTTTTTGAAATATTTCCTCTAAGTACTTACTGGGCAAAACAACTTCATTTCTCGGATGCGATTAATATAATGTCAAAGTGGCAGTGATGTGTTGGTAGTATACTAAGGAAAAAGTCCATATAACTTCTTAAAGTTCGTATAGCACCCTTAATTAACTTGAAAACCGAATGTCTAACCCCAACTTTACGATACCAGGTAATCATGTTACCCCTAAGATGGTTTTGGACAATAGTTTTGCGTATTTAAAATCTGAAATGAGGGGTTTTGAGTAACTAATGTAGCATGTTTACGTATCATCAATCATCGGTCATCAATTTATACTCTATATTAATATTTTTGCCAGTTTTATATCAACATTCATTTGTAAACCAGAGAAAAAAAATACGGTAGAAATAAAAGATTTAGGTGAAGATTTTAACATATGCGTTTAATGCATATGTGATGTAGTCAACCAACGTATATGTAACTTACGTAAAAACCACTTTGCAAAACCACTTTATGGTGTTGTATGAATGTTATTCTATAGTTTTGGGATGGCTTATTTCCAGTTTTAAATTCAAGTGCCAGATGGACTTTCAATTAAATGGTGTGTTTAGTTTACACCAAAATTGAAAGTTTGGTTAAAATTGGAACGATGTGACGGAAAAGTTGGAAGTTTGTGTGTGTAAGAAAGTTTGGATGTGATGGAAAAGTTGGAAGTTTGAAAAAATATTTTGGAACTAAACATTGCGAAAGTTTAGAGTAATATTTAAGAAATAAAATTTCCTAATTTACAGATTGAGAAGTGAATTTAGTTTAAGACAAATGATAAATGCTAGAATGTCCCACCTATCAAACATGATAATGCCTTCATTCCACCCTTAGAATGGAGAAAATGTTGGAACTGTAGGATGTGCTTTAGCCCATATGGAGAATAATTTCTAGAAAAAATCACAAAGCTCTACCTCATGGGAACTCATGGGAAGTGGTTGCATGTGAACCTTCCATACTACTTTGCTTATTTCACGAGATGGAGATTTTTTTTTAAAGGGAGAGTGATTTCCTAGCCACTTGAGGTATGTGTGGTGGAGAGAACTAGAGAAACACGCGTGCGCTCGCTCGCGTTGCCTGCCCGTGTTCGAGCGGCGTGTGTACATGAAATGATTGTGAATGGCCCACAAAAATTGGCTCTCTCCTCATGCTTGCGTAGATGCGACTACTTTTGTAGTTTTATTTTGCTATGAAAATCGATGTTTGCTTTTAGAACCCTAGTTTTTTGGAAACACACCGAGTTATCTAGTGCGTGGAACGGTGTGGAGTTCGGATAATTTACGTGTGACTAATCAAATTTGTTCACGCGTTGTGGAGATCATGTAGACATTTTGATCATGTGCCGTATTAACTCTATATAAATCAAGTCGCCATCTGCACGGAACATACACGAAAAAAAAAGAGGGTTTGCCTCCTCTATATTGCGTCGTTACTCGTAGCGTACTTTGTCCCGCTCACTGGCGATCAGGAATGCAAGTTTCTTATCCTTCACCTTGAACGTCCTGCATAAGGAGAAGGCACTAAAAGTTTTTATGGAAGCGCGGGAATGCAAGTTTCTGAGCCTTCACCTTGGACGTCCTACATCAGGAGAAGGCACTAAAAGTTTTTATGGAAACGCTTCACACTATTGCTCGTTGTGTTCCACAATGCACCAGAACTAAATCGTCGATGTGCTAATAAAGTTTTTATGGAAGCGCATTGCATGATTGCTCGCTGGCCTTCCATAATGCACCAGAACTAGAATCATCAGTACATTTCCATCATGTTCTGTACATTCATGTGTAGTCTCGTATACATGATTTGGTTATGCTAGTTTACATGTTTGATATCATTATTAATGTATAAAATAAATTATATCACATATACTTATATTTTCATCAGAAATTTTGTGAAATTTCACAGGAAATGAGCTAATACTAAAAAACTTCTAAGATTTCAGAGTCCCAACAAAACCTATAGCGTACTATTAAATACCACATTCAGCGTACGCGCGATAGCATAAGCCCACCACAAAATATGATAATAGATTTATGCTGCAGGGCTTGCTGCTATCAGCCTAACTAGCAATAGGCACGCGCTACGCTGCGTGTAAATAAAGAAGGAATCAAAATAAGCTTAAGGTATTCAAACAAACTAATGAGATATAACACATATCACAATTCTATTGTAACATTTAAATGTTGTAAGACATCGTTACAATTTATGAGAAAAATACCATTTCAACTCAACATGGCTGAAAATTCCAAATCGTATAGACCTCTGATTGTTTTTGTTTACTGGCTTATCAACAAATTGGAAAGAGAATTAGATCATGGCCCAAACAACCTACTTGGAAATGGTAC